CCTCCCTCCCTGCCTCCCTCACCTTCTTTTGTCCCTCCCTCCCTCCCTCCCTCCCACCCTCCCTTCCTCTCCTTTTGTTCCTTCTTCCCTGTCTCCCTCCCTCTGTTTTCCTTCCTTCCTTCTCTCTTTCCTTCCTTCCTCTCCTCTCCTTCCTTCCTTCTCTCCTTTTCTCCCTCCCTTTCCCCATCTCCTTCCTTCCTCCTTCCATGCCTCCCTCCCTCTTTTTTCCTTCCTTCTTTCCTCCTCCTCTCCCTCTCCTTCCTTCCTTCCTCCCTTCTTTCCTCCCTCCCTCCCTCCCTCTCTTTCATTCCTTCCTTCTCTCCTTTCCTCCCGTCCTTCCATCTCCTCCCTCCCTCCCCCTCCCTTTCCCTCCCTTTCCCTTCTCTTCCCTTCCCATCCCTGTCCATGAGTCTCATCTCACAGCTCAGAGCAACTGTGAGTGGCTTACAACATAATAAAGCCTAAAAATAATAAAAAACCATTATCAATTAAAAACAGGCCAGAGTGACAAAGAATTAAGAACAGACTAAAAGACTGTTTTGGGGCAACGGGAGGGGGACGGGAGCAGCGGTGGAGCCTTCCATGTTAGTCTACCAACCACCTCCAGCCTACCTCTTCATTGGGGTCCTGTGCCAGCCAACATACCCAGGTTTGAAGGCCCTTCCTGAAGGCCAAGAAGACGAGGGGGGGGGGTGTGGCAAGCTGTTCCAAAGAGCAGGAGCCACAGCAGAGAAAGCCCTTCTCCTGGACCCCACCCGCAGGAATTCCATAATGTCAGGGTTCCGATGGATGCCCTAATGAATTCATGAGCCTTGAGCCTAGTTTCAAAAGAAATCCAATTATTTATTAGGAGCAACATGTCGGCACTACTTTTCCCAAGGGCAGCCGGCTCTGCCCCACCTAATTTACTGCCCACCTATGACCCTGTTTCCCCCCCCCTTTCTCCCAGGGTGTGTCATAAATCACATTCTCCAACCGAAGCACTTTCCCGGGCTGTAGAAAAAGGCCTTTTATATCTGGAGAAAGGTATGCATGGAATAGCATAGAATAGAATAGAATAGAATAGAATAGAATAGAATAGAATCAGGAATAGAATAAATGGAATGGAATGGAATAGAATAGAATAGAATAGAATCAGGAATAGAATCAGGAATAGAATCAGGAATAGAATAAATAGAATAGAATAGAATAGAATAGAATAGAATAGAAGAGAATCAGTAATAGAATCAGAAAAGAATAGAATAGAATAGAATAGAACTTTATTATGGTCTTAGACCAGCAATAGACATCACTATTTACAATATATATAAAAAAGTACTGACACATTATAATACATTAACAGTGGATTAAAACATCCCTGTTAAGAAAATACATGTTCTCAAACAGTTAGCAGCACTCCCTGGCTTATATGAGTGGAGAGCCAATAAGTATGTGTGTAAATATCATTTTCCAAAGATTCTTCTATCTCCAAAAATTGGCACAAATTGACAGCTATAATTCTGTAACCAGCCTGAAGATATGCGTGGAATTTGCTTCTGGTCACAGCAACTGAGCTTCTCCATCAGTTCTTCCCCCCCTCCTGCCTATGGCAACTCAAGAGCAGTCCAGGAATGCTTTACGAGGTGACCCCTTAGCTAATGAGGTTTTGTAGCAGGCAACTTTCTGAGATTTTAAAATGTCGCCCACCTTCCCCCCGACTGAGAACCATGGATTAAAAACGAACCTATGGAAACGGCTTTGCATATTGGCTCTTTGAAGGAAGGGTCTCCAACTACGGCCGCTTTAAGACTTGCAGACTTCAACTCCCAGAATGCCTCAGCCAGCCATTCATGCTGCCTGGGGAATCCTGGGAGTTGGAGTCCACAGGTCGTAAAAGGGGCCTTAGCTTCCCTGCCCCACCTCCTCTGCCTTGGATGTTGGGTTTATGGAATCTCTTTTCACCCTGGCCGCCCCCGTCCTTTCTGCACCCCAGGGAGAAAATCCTGCCACAGCCGGCACCCAACCCACCTCCCTTTGTACTAAAAATCTTGATTTTCCTGCTCCCTTTGCCACCTCTTCCCCACAGGAGCTCCGACGGGGCCGTACCTGGAGGCTGACTGCAGGCATTGGCAGCTCCACGCCCATTATTACCCTCCTCTCCTCCGTTCTGCCACCGTCCGTAAATTTATGGTGGGCTACGAGATGCTGGCTCAGGCCCAGAGGGACCTGACCCCAGAGCAGGTGAGGGGGAGCTAGGAGATGGGCTGGAAGTGCTGGAAGGGGCTGGGGCCCACCTGCCTTTGAAAGAGGTTTTAAAGAAAGCAGAATATTTGTAGCTCAGGGTTGAAACGAGGGGACCTGGGTGCTCTCTGAGCTTGGCTGGTTTTCTTGCAGACATTTCATGACCCAGCTAGGGAACATCCTCAGTGCTAGAAGGGAATGAGGTGGGAGGAGGGAGGGAAGGGAGGGAGGGAGGGAGGGAAGGAAGGAAGGAAGGAAGGAAGGGAAGGGAAGGGAAGGGAAGGGAAGGGAAGGGAAGGGAAGGGAAGGGAAGGAAGGAAGGAAGGAAGGACTGTGGGGTCCTTGGTGCTCTCTGAGCTTGGTTTATTTCTTGCAGACATTTCATGACCCAGCTAGGGAACATCATCAGTGCTAGAAGGAAGAGGAGGAGGATTGTGGGGTCTTTGGTGCTCTCTGAGCTGGGTGGTTTTCTTGCAGACGTCTCATGACCCAGCTAGATAATATGATCAGTGCTAGAGGGGAATAGGGATTGTGGAGAGGAGGAGGAAGAGGAGGAGGAAGAGGAGGAGGAGGAAGAGGAGGAGGAGGAGGAGGAGAACTACTGTAGGATCCTTGATGCTGTCTGGGCTTGGGGGTTTTCTTGCAGACATTTCATGACCCAACTAGGTAACACTATCAGTGCTAGAAGGAATGGGGTTTGCAGGGAGGAGGAGGAGGAGGAGGACTTGGGGGCTTCAACTCCCAGAATCCCTCAATTCCACGCTGGCTGAGGAATTCTGGGAGTTGAAGTCCACAAGTCTTAAAGTTGCCAAGTGTGAAGTCCCCCCTATCATAGAAGGTGGAAATAATTGAAGGAGCCAGGAAAGGAAAGGAGAACTTCCTGAGTCTTGTTCCCTTTTTGGGGGGTGGGGCAGCATTCAGCCAAGACCCTCTCATGCTGGAAAGGAGGAAGGCCCCCTGCATTCACCTCTTTCCTTCTCCCTCCGTGCTGCTTTCTCCTCACAGGCTGCTGAACGCTTGAGGAATCTTCCTGAGCACCATTACAAGCTGGGCACCAAGGAGGCACCTGGGGGCAGGTGATGGCTCTACCTGGCCTCTTTGGCGTGGGGCAGTTGGACAATCCTTAGAAGCTGACCAAGAGAGACTGAAGAACAATCCCAGCTGGAGAGTGGGGGGGGGGGAGCTGAGAACATCCCCTAGGAATTGCCTGACCTCAGGCCGAATGCCAGCCCGGCTGCCCCACTCCACTAAGGCGGTGATGCTGATGACCAGTTAAGCCAGGACCTCTTCCCTTCTCGGAAGTCCTCTGCAGAACTGGAGGCTCCGTGTCCTGTGTGCCCACAAGAGGCGAGACCCATCGGGGGGGAGTTGGGGGGGGGGGGGGGGAACCCCTCTCCTCAACATCAAGTCTATACCACTTCTGATGATGGATGGGTGAGGATTCCAGCAATCGCCCTAATTAAATCATGATTCTCGAGCCAAACTTCAAAAAACTTCAAAGGATCCATTAGAGGCGACTTACTGGCCCTGCCCTGTATGAAGCCAACTTCTGGCATATGTCATTTACAGTCCCCTGTGACCCTGTTTCCCCCCTCCCCCCTGGGTGTGTCATAAATCAGATTCTCCTATTGAGCGCGTTCACAGGCTGGGTGTCCTCATTCACGTTCTCCAATTAAATATATTCGCGGGCAAAAGCTCTGGTATTTGAGTTACAATCTTTTGAAGATAAGAGTTGGAATGTACTTTCGCTTCCAAACTGCCGCACTGCTCTTCCAGATTTCCTTCCTTCCCCCTTTTAATGGCAACTACTAAAAGAGGCGTAGGAATGTTTTATGAGTTGACATTTGGCAACTTCACTTCTTGAAGGTGACCTGTATTAAGCAAAAACAAACTGAGTGCAGATATAGAATTTAGGGTGGCTATAAGGCGATCAGTGTGGACATTCCTATTTACCCAAGAGGCCTCTGATGATGATTAGTCCTTTCGCTTGATTTGTTGTCAGGATTCCATTAATCGCCCTAATTAAATCATGATTCTCGAGCCAAACTTCAAAAAACTTCAAAGGATCCATTAGAGGCGACTTACTGGCCCTGCCCTGTATGAAGCCAACTTCTGGCATATGTCATTTACAGTCCCCTGTGGCCCTGTTTCCCCCCTCCCCCCTGGGTGTGTCATAAATCAGATTCTCCAATTGAGCACGTTCACAGGCTGGGTGTCATCAATCATGTTCTCCAATTAAATATATTCTTGAGCGAAAGCTCCGGTAGTTTAGCTAAAACCTTTTGAAGATAAGAGTTGGAATGTACTTCCGCTTCCAAACTGCTGCACGGCTCTTCCAGATTTCCTTCCTCCCCTCCCTTCTTTTATGACAACTACTAAAACAGGCCTAGGGATGTTTTCCGAGTGGAGATCTCTCCTGCTCTGCCCCGGTTCTGAGAGTTGCTACTATTAAATCAGAATATTTTGGGGTGAGTCTCCTTTTTTCTGAACTCTCCCCAAATGATGCTAAATAGAGTGCAAAGAAGAGCAACGAAGATGAACAGGGGTCTGGAGCAGTGGTGGGTTTCCCCCCCCAAAAAACATTTCCTACTGGTTTGTAGAGCCCGCTTTGTGTGCACGTGTCCGCAGGACTCAAACACTGCGCTCTGCATCAACGCTGGTGAGCTGTTGCTGTTTTTAACTCAGCTGAGGCATGGCAATCCATTCTACCACGCAAATCAACTGAGCTAATAAACAAGAGAATAGAGGAGAGGTAAGAGCAGGGGCAAGTGGGTGAGGCCAGCCAGAGATGGTATTTGCCGGCTCTCCAAACCAGTCAGAATTTTCACTACTGGTCCACCAGAACCGTTCTGAACCGGCTGAATAGCAGCTCTGGTCCGGAGGCTAAATCTTACAATGAAGAGCCAAGGAAACTAGGTATGCGTGATGACCCAAAGGGGCGTGGCATAGAGGCAACACAGTCAAATAAGAAGAGTCCCTTTATTATCTCCAACTTTGTCCCCAATGTCCAGGTTATACCTTTTGGGCTGGAGAAAAAGTCTCCCAGGAGCAGCCTTGGGCTGCAGAGGATCAAGGTCCAAAACATGGTCAACACAAACTGTAACTAAAAATCCACACAAACCACGCTGCAGTAATTAACTTGACGGGGCAGGAGAAGGAATTGCAGACTCGAAAGCACGGCAAAACTCACACAGTTGGGAAGACGGCAGGAAGCCAGATAAGCTACGACGAGACCAGATAAATTCACGTTTGCTCAGAGTTCAGGTGGGGCTTTGCTAGCAGTGGTGGCTCTTCCGTCCCAAGGACCGGCTCATAGATTTCCACTGCTCTCCTCTCCTCTGCCTTCTGTGCATCCGTGTGTCAGGCACTGGGCCCAGATGTTCCTCCTCTTCCTCATCAGCCACCTCCAGTCCTGGAGGCTGTTGATTCTCCATCTGAGGACTGACGGACGGCCCAAGTGCTCTCTCTCTCTCTGCCAGCTCCATTCCCTCTTCCTCCTCGGAGCTCCCAGTTGGCCCTGATGCTGGCCCTGATTCCCACGCCTCCTCCTCCTCCTCCTCCTCCTCCTCCTCCCCCTCCCCCCCCTCCCCCCCCCCCCCCCCCTCCCCCTCCCCCTCCTCCTCCTCCTCCTCCTCCTCCTCCTCCTCCTCCTGTGATTTGGCTGCTGGAGGGGCTAGTGGCCAACAGGCTACAACACCCGGCTGCTCTTCCATGCTACTCAGCCCACACAGCAGCTAAGTGCTCACCCAGGAGCACTTGAAGTAAATAATATATTTCATATTTGAAAAGGGAATCTAAATATGTATATTCTTTTTTTCCCCTTCTCCCGGAGTAATAAAGGCTTTGATTTGTTTTGAAGGCGTGATGTTTTATTCATTTTGAGACTTGCGATAAAATGATTGGAAGAGGCCGGCTGGAGGGAAAGGATGAACTGTTTCGTTGTTTTGCTAAAAAAACGTCCTTTTGGATCGCTTAAAAAAAGGGGGGGGGGTTAGAAATGTCGTCTGACAGCCAGACTTTTCTTGTAGCCCTTGACGGATGACCACCTTTGAGCCCAAAATTGATGTCATTAAGTGAGACATTGGCTAAGTGAGTTTTGCCCCATTGTACAACCTTTCTTGCCAAAATTGTTAAGTGAATCACTGTAGTTAAGTGAGTCACATGGTTGTTAAGTGAATCTGGCTTCCCCACGGACTTGGCTTGTCAGAAGGTCACAAAAGCGGATCACATGGCCACCATCGTAAATATGAGCCAGTTGCCAAGCTTCTGATGAGATAACTTTTATTGTCGTCATATTCTGTGAGCACACTGGCACACCTGAAGAATGAAATTCTGCTGCCTGCTCAAAAGTGTACACATGCATAATACACAGACAGAGAGGAGAGGGGTACATGATAATGGATGGATAGATATAGGATGGATGGATAGCTGCATGATTTGACAGATTGATAGATCAATTGATCAGTAGATGCATATATATTAGATAGACATTAGATAGATGATTGATAGATGATAAATGATAGATGATTAATAGATGGTAGATGATGGATGATAGATGATTGACAGATGATAGATAACAGATAAGAGATAGATTATAGATTGATGATAGATGATATATGATTGATGATTGATGATATTTAGATGATTGATAGATGACAGATAATTGATAGATTATTGATGATAGATAAATAGATGATAGATAGATGATAGATAGATAGATAGATGATAGATATAGATAGATGATAGATGACAGATAATAAATAGATGATAGATGATTGATAGATTATAGATGACATAATAGATAGATGATAGATAGATAGATGATTGATAGATGATAGATGATTGATAGATGATAGATGATAGATGACAGATAATAGATAGATGATAAATGATAGATAGATGATTGATAGATGATAGATGATATATGACATAATAGATGATAGATGATTGATAGATAAGAGATGATAGATAATTGATAAATAAGATGATAAATTGATGATAGATAGATGATAGATGATACATAGATGATTGATAGATAATAGATGATAAATAGATAGACAGACAGACAAATAGACAGACAGATTGATAGAGGAGAGAGGGAGAGAGAGAGAAAGAACGATGGCTATTCCAAGTCCTGAAGGTTTGCAATAATAATTTGGCTTCTGGGCCAGGACTTGGATGCCCCAAATCTGTCACATTTTCCCTGGGCAGGAACCCCAAATCCAGCTGAATTTCACCCCCCCTGACCAAGACTCCAAGCACTAACCACCTCCAACCCCAGGGAACATCCAGGTCCAGGCCACCTTCACCAGGTGGTGTCCTTCTTCTCCTTCATCGCGTCAGGTAGAAGCCTGGCTGTCCCTCCAAAGCAGCTCAGCTGGGAAGCTGGAATGGGGTTGGGGGAGTGGACAGAGGACAGTCACAGGAAGCCAGAAGGACAAAAGGAAAGGAAGAGAAGAGAAGCAGGGTGTGAAAAAAGAGCCAGAAGCGCCTCTGTTGAAAGAGACTTTCGTTTATTTGTTTGTCAAACATGTACAAGATAATAAGTATACGCATGAACATACGCAAGAACAAAGGAAGTCAATACAGAGAAATGGGGACTTTTGCTCTCCTCTGTTCACAGGAGCCTCCTGCAAATTCAATTTTGGTTTTTTTTCCCCTCCATAACCAGCTCTTCCTCTCCACCATTGGAGGTGGAATATTACACAGGCAAGCTTTAAGAATTGCTAACCTTATTTTGCGAAGCTTCTTCTTGCTAACAACCAGGTGATTGAAACAAGTATAAACTGTTCCATCCTCCACCATTCGGTCAGAACTGAAGAAGCTTCTTAGATAAGAAGTGATAGTCCTGAAGAGAAATTCACACACACACACACACATAGCGCACACAGGGTTGGAAGGGACCTTGGAGGTCTTCTAGTCTAACCCATTGCTCAGGCAGGAAACCCTATCCCATTTTAGACAAATGGTTGCCCAATCACTTCTTAGAAGCCTTCAGGGATGGAGCATTCACAACTTCTGGAGTCCAGCTGTTCCACTGGTTCATTGTTCTCACTGTCAGGAAATTTCTCCCTACTTCGAGGTTGCTTCTCTCCAGGGGTGGGATTCAAAAATTTTAACAACTGGATCTGTGGGCGTGGCTTAGGTGGTGGGTGTGGCTTGGTGGTCATGTGACTGGGTGGACGTGGCTTGGTGGTCATGTTATTGGCTGGGCGTGGCCAACTCAAGATCACTCGCATCGAAGCACGCATCTCCTCGCCTGGCCTCTCATGACTGTGGGGATGCTGCAACAGTCGTAAGCGTGAAAAACGGTCATAAGTCACTGTTTTCAGTGCCATTGTAACTTTGAAGGGTCACTCCACACAAGCAAAGTACCAGCAAAGGAGGGGAAAAAAACTCCAGAGAAGTTCCTGAGACATGAAGTCTAGTCCTGCCAAGAACGTAATAAGGGTTAACGGAGAGGCAGTTTCTGTAAGCAACACCAGAATGTTTCCTTCCTGCCTTCCTTACAGGATTAGGCCAGTAATTTC